ATGGGGGTGGGAGTATAATGGTATGGGGGTGTTTTTGTCGCTCAGGTGTTGGTCCTCTTGTTAAAATTGATGGGATAATGGACCGTTTTTTGTACAAAGACATATTGGAGAATAATATGTTGCCTCATGCTGATGAAGAAATGCCACTCAGATGGTTGTTCCAGCAAGACAATGATCCCAAGCACAAATCTCGGTTTGTTCAAAATTGGTTAAATGAACATAATGTTCCACTAATGGATTGGCCCTCACAGTCTCCGGATCTTAACCCCATAGAAAATTTATGGGACCATTTGGATAGCAAAATTCGAAGCCATTCTATTTAAATAAAAATGAATTATGGGAAGTGCTTAAAACTGAATGGGCGGCCATTTCCAGAAAAGATTGTAATAGATTGATCGATTCGATGCCACGAAGATGTAGAGAAGTAATTAATTCAAAGGGATATTCCACTAAATATTAGTAATTTTTATATTATCTTGAATTTTAATAAACATTCTTCTTAAGTTTCCATACTTTTGACCAAGAAAATATTCATAATTTTTTATATATTTTTTGATAGCTGTAATTTTTTATTTAAGAGTATTAGGTTTTGTAGGAAATTATTTGTAGGTCACGATTATATAAGTTTTATTTAATATTTTAATTTCTCAGCATAAATGACAAATTAAAAAAGTTTCCATACTTTTGGCCACCACTGTACATTTATACGAACTTTTTTTTACTTATTTTTATCTGCAGAATATGCTGCCGAAATTTCCGGAATAACAGTTTGGACCACCCTGCAAATTTTACAAAAAATAGAATGCAGCCAAATCTATATTATGTATCCCAACAACCTCAGTTTGCTTAATTTTCAAATTATTTTTGAAATCCACCAAAGAAAATAGGAATAAAAATGCTATATTTTTTTTTGATATAATTTTATTTATATCCCGTTTAAAATATCAACAAACCTAGCAAGTTCAGAGTTCAACGACTTGTAATACCAACCAGGCTCTCAGTGCCCGTCTTTATCTCTAGTTTATTAAAGAGCTCAGACTGGTTAAATAACATAAATATTACGACAAATAAAGGATTGTTTTCTAATTTTACTTTAATTGTTTATTATTGGGTCGGTGGACTCGCTCTAAATAGTATCGAGACAAAAATACCACCTAAAAAACAGAAAATAACTAATATATCGATGAAAAAAGCTAGTGAGAGTAATAGTTTTCACTTGTTTGTGTCTATGTATCTGGTTTCCTGACTTTCAGTATCGAATATTAGCAATTTTTGCTTCAGAATCGATCAAGCTTATCGACCAGTTACCCATTTCACTAGTAAATTTGGTTGTTGTATTGGTGTGAAAGTATTCTATCGATTTATACCGGGTGTGTCTCGAAATAAGGTCTCAAAAGTGGCTCACCCCTATAACTTTTTGATTTTATTATTAGCGTGTTACCGCGACTTCGTTCGCGTCGAATTAATCATTTGTAATGGTGATGATAAAGCAAAGCAAGAATTTCCATTAACAAACAGACTGGATAAAATTTTCTCACATTTATGTCAGCATGAGAAAAAACAATATGGCGATATTATTATATTACTTTGTAATATTTGAGGGGTAGTTTCATCTCGTTGGAATTTGATTTTCGAAAAATCCGTTTGCCAAAAATAAGCTTTTTACGTCAAGCAGTTTAAGCAGAATCGTGGTTAATCAATTATTACCCAACTTTTTGAAACACCCTGTATGATTTTTTAAAAAATTTCAAAATATGTAAAAAAACAAAATAAATTATGCGTGTCCAAACGTTTTCCCGAAAGACTAACCGTTTTTTAAATAACAAATATTGTAATATTTGAGGGGCGTTTTCACCCTCTTGGAATTTGAGATTCGAGAAATCCCTCCTTATCGAACCTCTACACCCCACAGTCAATCCGTTTGCCAAAAATCAGCTTTAAACGTCAAGCAGTTTAAGCAAAATCGTGATTACTCAATGGTCATATTTTATGAAACACCCTGTACAAATTTTAATGTATTAAAATATGTAAAACAACAAAACAAAATATACGTGATTAAGAGTTTTTCCGAAAACTCACCGGTTTTTAAATAAAAAATGTTCTAATATTTGAGGGGTGGTTTCACCCCCTTAGAATTCGAGTTGGAAAAATCCCTTCTTATTGAACCTCTACACCCTAGAGTCAATCCGTTTTCCAATAATCAGCTTTTTACGTCAAGCGCTTTAAGCAGGATCGTGATTCATCAATGACCAGATTTTTCGAAACACCCTGTATACATTTTTAAAAAATCTTAAAATATGTAAAAAAACAAAATAAAATATACGTGTTTAAGCGTTTTTTCGGAAACTTGACCGTTTTTTAAATGAAAAATATTGTAATATTTGAGGGGTGGTTTCACCCCCTTGGAACTGGAATTTCGAAAAATCTCTTCTTATCGAACCTCTTCACCCTAGAATCAACCTGTATGCCAAAATTGAGCTTCTTACGTTGAGTGGTTTGAACAGGATCGTGATTAATAAGTGATCATATATTAGTATAGATTATATGACATAAATTAGAATTGATTGACGTATTCGATTGTTTTTGGTCACTTCCTGTTTCACCAGAAATGACTACAACGTTTGATTTTTAAAAGGCACCCTTGGTATATTTTTACTTTATTCGATAGAAAATGACACTCTGAGTAGAATGACATATCATATGTCAACTTTTGACATTTTTGCTTAAATAAAAATCGTATTTCAATCTAGAGTGCCTTGGCTGTAGAACACTAATTTTTAATCAAGGAGCCTTGGAAAAATAGATTTGATCGTCTAATGTTTTTCGTGTCTTGTCCTGACCGGTTAAAAGATGCCCAAATCGTATTTTTAATCATATCTCAATTTTTTCAAATGGAACAAGGGTGGCTCGTTAGCATATTTGAAAAAAGCATTTTTTTACGAATAATTTGGTACCGCACACTAGGTATTTTGAGTCAAATTGTCGTTATGAACCGCATGTTACAATTTCAAATAAACGCGAAAATGTCAAAAGTGTGTCATTTTCTATGGAATAAAGTAAAAAAATACCGAGGGTATCATCTAAAAATCAAAAGTTGTCATATCCGGTGAAACAGGAAGTGACCAAAAACAATTCTATACTTCAATCAATCCTAATTTATGTCAATATATACTAATATACCAAATCTCGTTTTTAATCTGAAAAAATAAAAAAGTTATAGAGGTGAGGCACTTTTGAGACGAACCCGGTATACCCTGCATCTTTTGGATATATACCGGGTTGGATTCTAAAGCAGTATTATTTTACATAAAATATCTTTTTTGATTTTTAGACTTCTGTTTCAATGGCAAATAATAAATAGGTACCTAACAAATTATTAATCAAAATCTTGAATAAACTCTTTCTTTTCGATTTAAGTTCTATAAATAAAAAAAAAACTTCAAATGCAATTCTAAATTTAGAACAAAAAACTAAAGAATTGACGAAATTAGATACGTATTTCCACAATCGTTAATTTTTTCCGGTATAATTATAAACATAACTATCTTTGTCGGGAAATCTGATTTCATCGACGTGATATTTTGAAAATAGCTACATTGTCGACTGAATTGTGTCGTTTTACCATCAGGGTTTCGAATTTCCTTGAAGTATAAAGTAGTAGGGATGTATAAAAATATCGAAAGAAAATTATTATATCGATTTTCCATTGTCTTTATTTCCTTATTTACAAAATTATAACCAGATGAATTAAACAGTTATAACACTCTCCGTCATCAAATAAGTACCAAAACTAAGCAAATTTAACACTGGGTGTTCCTTTACACTGTGGCTGGCACTTTTCTGTGAAATGTGTGTTAAAGTCTGGTACCCTGTGTTAATGACTGTATTTTCTGGAAATACACCCAAGTGAATAGTTACGGTCTACACTTAAATGAAATTCATAACTTTTTTCTTATAGGATCTTTGCAGGACCCTGTATAGGCAATTATTGATGCTTTTTAAATGCCACTAAAAAGAACAAAAATATATTTTAAAAAAAAAGTACTTTATATTTGAATAATGAATTGTTCAAAAGAAAGTTTTATGTCCATTTTAATCAAAAGTATTACGCGTCATCACATGAGCATAATTAAATGAGATTGTTACTTAAAATGCAGCTATTTTTAGATGACCTACCAAATCAAACTGTATTTAAATTAAATATTGCATCACACGAGTGTCATTTTTTGTTGATTTGTTTCTGTCCCAAAATGTACTTTAATTTTTCAGATAAATATACAGGATAATTCAAAAGAATTGTGAAGTTAAAAGGAGTAAGTTAAGTGAGGTAAAGAAAACATTTCGTGAAGTAATTCTTTAGATCTATATCTTTGAATAAAAGAATTAAGGAAGAAGTATAATGCTATCCCTGTATTTATACAGGGTGAGTCTTAAATAAGTGCAAATATTTTCATGGCTGGTAGGTCTCGATAAAAGAAACATATTTTCTCTTTGCCAAATAACTCCAAAATAATTGAGTCATTTTACTTTGAACATTTAAGAAAAAAAAATGATTTTTCTTAAATGTTCAAATTCTTTTCTTTACAGTGTACTTTTTGTAACTTTTCATAGAGAATATAACTTATTAGAATATTTTTAATATATCTCTTTAGAAGAAAACCATAATAGATTTGTCATATTGTAACATAACTTGTGATTGTTATGTTTGGTTGATCTGGACCGGATTATTTTAAATTTTAGCCTAATTTATTATTTTTCTATCACTCATAACTTAAAAACGAATACGTATAAATTATCCAAAATGAACAAATTGCTTCATTTTAAAAAGTTCATTCTTTAAAAAGTTTCAAATTAATTTTTCTGTGAAATAAAAAGGGAAAAACTGTTTCATCATTTTTCATCAAATTTACATGGGATTTCATATGCTAGGTTGATGATCCAACACACGGTATATAAAAAATACACTTTCAAATATAAATACACTTTATTCAATTCATCAGTAATCTTATATACGTAAATTCCCTAAACTCATCTCAACGATATAACAAAATAACTCTATGGAGTGTTGATGGAACTATCAGGTCTCAGCTGTCTGGTGTGCATATCGTTGTACGCTATAGTGAACACACTTTTCTTCTGAGCCATTTCCGGCTTGCTCAGAACTATACCGCTATCTGCGTCCTCCTCTGCCCTCTTCTTCGGGTATCGAACCTCGAACCTACGACATGCCTGCGTAAAGCGTAACCATATCCCACTTATAAGTCTTTAAGATCAGATTCATTAAGTCAGAAGTGTCAGTATTGTCAGATTAGAATAAGTTAAGCGGGTCTTGGATAAGTCTTGGACCTATTCTGAGAGAAAGACTTTTTAGGACATATATTCATATAAAGTAGATCTATGTAATGCCATATTCATTCTGATCCAACTTTATTCTGATCTGTAAAATTCGACACTTCTGACCTAATGAGCCTTCCGATCTTACCTGTGCTCAGAATGTTGAAGCAGAGGATGCTCAGGTCCTATAGACTTTTTACTGGAATCAGCTTTCTTATTTGAACTTGACACAGTTTCTTTAAACAACCTTGACTCCACGACAGGTTGCTTAAGCTTTTCCCCCTCCAAAGTCGTCTCAGATTTCCTCCTTTCACCTTTAGGCGCCTTCTGAGTACTATCCTTATTCTTAGTGTACCACTCCATGTACCTAGAACTACCCTTCCTGGATTTTTTGGGTAAAGGAGCACTACTCAACTCAGCATGGCTCTGACTCTTCTTCAGACCTAGTTTGGGATCAGTTTTAGACTTCTTAAAGCTCGAAGAGGATCTTAGATCATTTTCTGATCGGTATCGAGCTCTGGAGAGGCTTGTATCTGATCTCCTGCGAGGGGGTTCGCGGTCTAGAGACTCAGAACGTCTTCGGCGTGTTTGGGAAGCTGCCTCAGCTTGAAAATATCTGAAAAAATATATTTTTTTTTGTAAAATTATTTATAGAATAATTAATACTCACATTTTGTCAGATCTTGGACTGATATCTTCGAGACTATCATCGGAGTATGGTTCTTCTGGTGATGTTTTGTATTTATCAAAGTACCCCTCTTCGTCGCTCTGGTTTAGTGATGCTGTGATCTCTCTCAAAACGTCTTTCCTCAATGCTGATCTACTAGAAACATTAATACCTATAATTGCAACTTTTAAAAAGGTTTTGTTTTAAAAAGAACTTACGTTGAAGACGACTTTGATTCAATACTAGCCCGTTTTTGCCTCAGCTGACTGGTCCTAGTTTGCTTGATTTGAGGCATCTTAGCCTCATTTCTCTCCATACTAGATTGCTGATAGGAAGACTCGTACTTCTCCGACATCTCCACCTCACTTTCCTCTGTCAAAAACACGAAACTCTTTAATTTTTCTGCCAAAAAAAGTAACCAAATAAAATTTACCTTGAATAGGAGTACGAATTTTCCTTGGCTTCATGATTCTGTGCCTTCTTTTGGCTCTGGCTTTGATGATAGCGATTTCTTCATCTGATCCATCGTCGCTTAGTTCTAGATCAGATTGAACTCTTCTTCTTGGTGGTCTTAAGTACTGAGGCTCGGTTTGAGTACCCCGATCTTTATCAGTCTGTGTACCTGCAGGAAGAGACTGAGTCTCCAAGCGAAGATCACGTTCTCGTTCCATGATCAACTGTCTTAATAGAGCATTTTGCTGACGTAATGAGGCTTCCAAGAATTCCTGCTCAGTTTGAAGTTTGTTTACGGCATTAGGTAACAAAACTTGAGCTCTAAAATGTTCTGAGTTAACTAAATGAGCCTTTTAAGGCATTTTCTGTCATACCTGGCTGCTTCGGCTTGCTGTTGATCAATGAATCGTTTTAGAAGAATATCTTTACCGCTATCAACAAAATAGTGTTGCTGTTGCTGGTCTAAGAATGTTGCACTATTTCTTCTAGCTTCTCCGCCAGCTCTAATATATTAAACATTATTATAACAATTGGGCATATAGAAACTCTTGACAATGAATACAAATATGCCAAATCAAGAGAGTAATGATATACAGGGTGGTTCGAACTGTATTCCGGAAACTTCGACAGCATATTCTGCAAATAAAAATAAGTAAAAAAGTTCGAATAGATGTATGTCCTAAAATACTTAGTTTCGGATATACAGGGTGTAGAAGTTTCATTTTTATTTCGATTTTTTCCAAGTAATTTATGAAGTAACGTCAATATTTGGATCAAAATTGGTGTATGGGAGTTTTTTGACATGAGGAATTCGATTTTCATGTCAATATGACTCCTACTTGTAGAGGGCGCCACCTACATATTTTTTAACTGGTTTGAAGAGTAATAGCTTTGTCCGTACCTGTATAAAACTTCTGGGTGAAAAAATATACATTTACGACGTCTTTTACGTAAAAAAGATCTCGTGGTAAAAATGGCTACGAGAAATGGTTCTCGAGATATTTGGAATCGGAATTATCAATACCTGTACTTTTTTATCATCATCTTTATGATGATAAAAATTTTATCATCTTTTTTATCATCAAAGAAAAATTTATAAAAAAAATCCCAAATTCACTATTTCGGTCAAATAACTAGGTATCTACTTAACATATTGTTTATTTTTTGTCAATAATGACATGTATTGACTATTTCCATTCTAAATATCTCGAGAACAGTTGCTCGTAGCCATTTTTGCCAAGAGATATTTTTTACGTAAAAAATCACGGAAATGTATATTTTTTCACCCAGTAATTTTATACAGGTACGGACGAAAAGTTATTACTCTTAAAAAAAGTTAAAACACATGTAGGTGGCGCCCCCTACAAATAGGAGTCGTATTGACATCAAAATCAAATTTATCATGTCAAAAAAGTCCCAGACGCCAATTTCCATCTGAATATTGACGTTACTTCAGATATTATTTGGAAAAAATCGAAATAAAAATAAAACTCCTACACCCTGTATCTCCGAAACTAAGCATTTTAGGACATACATTTATACGAACTTTTTTACTGATTTTTATCTGCAGAATATGCTGGCGAAGTTTCCGGAATACAGTTCGGATCACCCTGTATATTTAGGACAACTAATACACCGCTCAGGATATGAGGGAGTCTACACAGTCTACTACAGGGTGTTACTGGAAATGGTTGAATAAGCCGGAAATGACGATGATGATGGTTATAAAAATGTTATTTAAATAGAATTACCTAGTGATTAATCTTAAGATATCAGCATTTCCTTCTCTTATGTACAGCTGATCTCGCATATTGTCTTGTTGATTTAGATGTTGCATGTTCAGACTTTGCTGTACGTGTTGGTGTCTATAAAAAATACAATAAAAATGATCAAAAACACATATTAAATTTGTTGATGTAGAGCTTTTCAGTGTTATTGTTTACCAAGAGCTATTTAACATGTTCTTTCTTCTTAACTTTATTCATTATTTTTTTACTATACCTCAAGTTATTCTGTCTGACTCCTCCACGATCTGAACCCCTTTCCATTTCATGTCTTCTGAGTGACTCTGATTCAGGATCAATCATGACTGCAACTGGTTCTTTGTCAGCACTCCAAGCTTCTTTTCTACCAAACCACTCAGCAACCTGTACTGACTTGCTTTCTCTACCCTGGCCAGAACCTTAAAACTATTCAGTAAATATACAGATAACTTAAAGATTATAATAAAATGTTACCTTTTACTACAAGTTTTTCTACAATATCTGCACTAGTGATTTTACGCCTCTTTGGCGCAATGTAAAACGGACACTGCTTGCAAATGCAACAGAGGATCAGTATGATCGCAGCTATAATTCCTAGTACAATAAATAAGATCACTAGCCACAGAAGATCACCGCTTGAGCTTTGTTTGATTGTGGTTTTCTCAGTTTCTCTTATAACGTTCTGTTGGTTTTGATTCTGCACGTTTTGTTGACGCTGTTGTTGATCGTCGAGCAGTTGTTGAATTCTATTCACGTCAACTACAGAGTCTTTGGTGTAGTGAACAGTAGCAACAACGACGCTTCTATGAAAATAGACAATTTTAAAGAGAAAATAATGTAAAATACAGGGTGAAACATCTCATACGACACGAATTCTCCAAAAAACATTTTTAAAGCTTTACACTAGTAAGTAAAAATTAAGACCGCAAAACCAAGAGTGGTCTAGCTCATCGCTATTTTTCATATAGAGGATTTTTTCTTGGAGAGCCCAAGTCATACGAAATGTACCACCCTGTACAGGGTGGGTCAATTCGACGCTTTTAAAGGCAAACACCCTTTTCTATAGGAGATAGACAAAATCTAATATAGGTGTCTGGACATCAACGGTAATGTTTTTGATAAAAATTGAGCTCCAGACATCGATATTAGTTTTCGTCTATCTCCTATAGAAAAAAGTGTTTCTCTTTAAAAGGGTCCAATTTGACCCACCCTGTACAATGACCATGACTTACTTTTCTCCATTCTGTTCCCTTGTAACGTATGTAGCACCAGGTTCGAACCCAGTATAAGGCCTCACTTCATTCACTTCAACTGTACCACCCGTCAAAGCACTTAAAGTTTTCTCAGCCTCATACTTATCCTGATATTTTCCAGGTAAAATAAAAACCATCTTGCGAGATTTTGATTCAGGAGGATAAATCCTTATTTCACACTCACTAGACAATCTCGGAACACCTTCATCATACGCCTGTGCTCTTAACGTGACCAATTCATCATTATCCCAAGCTTTTTTCACAAGTATTTCACCAGTTTTTTCGTTCACAAATAAGTTTTCGTTTGGCGTGATCAGCTGGTACATCACTACGTTATTTGGAGGTGAAATATCGTTGTCAAATGCTTTGATGAAGGCTTGAGTGGTGAACGTGAGTCTGTCTGTGTTGAGGATGAACTCGTAAATGTCTTTTTCGAATTTGGGAGCGTGATCGTTGATGTCCAGGAGGTTTATAAGGATTTTAGAGGTTGCTGTGAGTCCTTCACCGCTTTCATCAGCTGCAGTAACAATAAGGGATATAGTAGGAAATGTTTCTGCGTCCAAACCATCGGAGTTAGCTACTGTAACTAAGCCTGTTTCGGGATCTAAACTATAAAGAATATTTCTGTAGCTATTTTTGGAATACTTTGTTCAATATTTATACTTAAATAAGTCACTTCCTTCGCCACTCAGCTCCATATATCTTATTTTGCTTCCTGGTTCTCTATCAACATCTGTAGCTTCTACAATTAGTACTGTGGTACCGACTGCAGCGTGTTCTGTAAGTTATATTACGTTACATCTAAACTAGACTCAGCAAGCTAAATTTTATTGCTGAAGTATTGCCGAAGCAAGGTGCAACATTGTTGTTTTCATAGCTACATTGAGCAAGCTATGGTAAATCACGACACAACGTTAAGCAATCAACATTGTAAAGCAAGCTGTTTGGGGATTGATTGCAATATTGTAAAAGTAATGTAAAGCTTTTTGCTTAGTGAACAACTAAGCGTAAACTATACTGTATTACCTGGAACATTTCCTCTGAATTCTGATTTAACAAATCTCGGTGGGTTATCATTTACATCATTCAAAACAACTGTCAGTTTTGCCCTGGCTGTGTAATTACCTTTACCCAACTCTTTAGCTACAATAAAACACTCCACATAATGTCTAGCTTCGTAATCTAACAGTCGATTGTCATGAACCTAAAAAAAATGGATCTATTAGAACAGAATTGTGTATTTTACTCACATTTGATTGAACTGACAGTAATTCTGAACCTGGCAAAACCTTCTACAACACTGGGTGATATATCGAAGGTTCCATTATTCTTTTGTAGCTCCAAAGTGACTACATCACCGGGTTCAGTAGTGATTTCAGCTTGGGGTAAGTCTAGGTCAGTACCAACAGGTGAATTCTCGTCAAGGAGAGCATGGTATTCAATTGCTCCGAATGTAGGTGATCCAGTGGTGATACCTGTTATGAATTTATTCAGGACTTTAAGTTATTTTGAAATATTTTTTGGGGTTACCTGGTGGTATTAACGCCAACTGGACTGTGGTAGATTGTGAAGGGGCTTCTTGTGGGTTTGATCTGACTTCCTCGGCAGTTACTTTGAGCAAAATTGGTTGTCCTTGGTTTGATAAAGACATGACATGGGACATAGGCCTGCTCAACGTTAGTTCACCTGGAATAACAGTTTTGTATATTTGTTTTAATATGTCAGATAATGGTGTGCAAAATAAAAGTAGGGGAAAGAAGCCTAAACTGTACCGATTTGTACAAAAATGAAGTGGACTGGGTAGTTTTGAGATTATTACGAATAATTAGTTCAAACTCTTCCACATTTTATGTATTTTTCAGATGTTTATTAGCATTATTTCAGCAGAAATATCAATTTTTCAAAGGCCTTACAAAGGGTACAATTCAAGAAACCTATTTCCGAAGTCGTACCACTATAGACTACGTGTATCGTACCTACCATCTAAAATATACCTAACCATAATTTTAAAGTGGTTTTAAAAATGAACTATTTTACTAATCGTGTTAACACTATGTTAATCATCTTACTATAAACTATTTCGGATGTATAAATAAAAAAATTGACCCCAATTAACCTAGCCCCCCCTAACCCCTCACTACAATTTTACGAACACTACGCGCACACAAAAAAAATTATCTTTATTTTAATAAAAATCTTGACCGAAAAAACTGATAAACTCCAACATAGTAATTAGTTTGTCCAAAACCAAAATAAAAACACGAAAAGCAACAAATTATCCAAACTTAGCTTTCGTGTCTGTTCGATGCTCAGATAATTCAGTGGTTTTGGGGGTATTTGCAGACATAGGGTTTATTAGATCGTTTTCGGAAATCTTACAAATAAAAAACTCATCAACACGAACCTAATATTTTAACTACTCTAGCGTGCCTAACGTAGCTATAACAGCTTAAAATAGCCATCGATTCATTTTTAATTTTTTAACGTTAATTTTATTAGGCGGAGATATTATTTCGTTTTATATTTATTTGTAAATATATACTGATTGGTTAGTTAAATCGGATACTTAGATTTGACTCTCTGATTGACGACCAGTGCCAGGCAGCGTAGTAGCATATGTTGAACCGTATCGTCATCCTGTTCACATTCCGTACAAAGTAGTCTATTGCCCATCATTACAGTTCCAAGACTGCCTCTAATATTGGGTCAGTTGGGGTAATCGTAAACAGGGGCAATAGTAAACATGTCCAATAACTTTTGACCTAATCCTTTCCTAATCATCAAATTATTCCAAAAAATTGAAATAAAATAAGATTGGTTTAACAAGAAACTGACCAAGATGATAAGATTGACACTCCAAGGGACAGTAAATAAGTCAAAGTAGACAAGAAAACAACGAAAAAATATTTATAATCAGGGACGGATTAAGACAGGGGGATCCACTATCTCCAGTACCGTTTAATGTTTAGAAGAAGTTATAAAAGATGCGGGAATCAACAGAGAGGGCCTTCTGTATACAAAAAGACACCAATACTATGCAGATGATTTAGTTATCTTAACAACAGACCGGAAAGAGCTGATATCGGTGACCAAAAGACTAGAAAATCAAGCGCAAAAGGGAGGCTTAGTGTTTAATGAGAAGAAAACGAAATTTATGGAGTGGTCAGATAGGGATTTTGAGAAGGGAAGATGTCTACAAATAGATTCTGAGAGAGGGAAACGAGGGAAACGAGGGATACATGGATACATACACATATCTAGGAGCCGTATTTCTAAGAAAACCAAATGTAACTCAAGAAATTATGGCAAGAATAATGGAAGGAAATAGATGTGTTAGCGCATTACAGAAAATTATTAAGAGTAAGAACATACCAATAGTGCTGTATGTATGTGAAACGTGAACGTACAATGCAACGGAAAGTTCGAGGCTAGAGATTTGGGAAAGAAAAATAGTGAAGAAGATTTTTGGAGGAAAGAAGATATACAACATATAGACCAGAAGAACAAATGAAGAATTAAAGCAACTATATCGGGCACCGAGAATAACGGGAATAGCAAGAGGACAAAGACTGAGATGGCTGGGTAGGCTGGGATACATTGAAAGAATGGCTGAAGCAAGAATTCTTAGTATGACAAACAAACAACGCGTTATTGTACAAAAAGCCAAAACGGCTTCATCGACAAAGCACTCACAAAACAAACAAAAGCACAAAAAAATACAAACAACAAAAAATACACAATACAAATAATACAATTCAAAAAAAATTAAGTCATTAAAATAACAAAAAGAATATACATGGACAATTGCAGAACAGTACGCAGTAAATAGATATAATTTTAGAGTTATAAAATATTAAATACTTGATCTTTGACCAGTGTGTGAGATGATCAAAATAAAAATTATAAATAAAATTCAAAATTGTTCATAATTAAACATCAACAAAAAAGTCGTTTACCGTGTACAGTATTGAACCTTTAACTAGTTCTTAGCTCGGGGTTGGCAGATAAATATCGTGCTCCGCTTTCCTAAGTGGATAGTTATGAGATGACCTTTCGGGAAGAGCAGATATGTGCTTGCGGATTAAGCAAACGGATTCAAAAATGAATAAAGAAGGAAGAGTCAGTATTTTGAAATTTTTAAAGAAATTCTGGCAGTGAGTTCTACTGTTCAGTCCCAATAAATATCGAACTGCTCTCTTTTGAAGTCTGAAAATACGATCAAATTTTGTTGCGCAGCAAGTACCCCAGAACGAAAGGGCATAACGAAGATGTGACTCAAAAAGGGCATAATAGGCTATTCTAGAGGTTGAGAAGTTAAGTTCCTTAGAAACTGATCTTAGCGCAAAACAGGCAGCGCTTAGTTTCTTTGATAGAGCTTGGATGTGAAAGTCCCATTCAGAGAATCCACGACGTCAATAGTGTACAAAACAACTTTAGTTTTTGATAGGTTGAGGCATAGGAAATTAGAATCGGACCAAGATTTAATGGTGCGTAAGTCACTGGATATAGTATCATATAGTGCCGCAACATCTGGGCCGCTCCAAGTGAAACTAGTATCGTCCGCAAAGAGGCAGATAAATGTATGTATGATAATGAAACGTGAAATAGGTGGAAAGAGAAGGAGGGGTAGACCGAGAACCAGATGGAAAAAGGATCCTGAAGAGGATTTGAGAAGGATAAGAGTAACTTTTAGAGCTATTATATATAAGATTCGGAATGGAATCTTATATATGGATATATAATGGATTTGGAATGGGAATCCTCCAACAGTCTAAGACACTCGAAGAAATTTCTCGGGACTTTTCGGAAAGATTTTCCTGGATTTAAGTAAGAACAATCTTCGGATTGTCACGGGGTTTTAACGGGACACTTCAACGAACACTTCAGTAGATTGAAGCCAAGAAACAACGGCGAATGCAGATTCTGTAGGGAAAATGGGGAAACACCGTCACTGAGTGCGCCGAGACAACAACCATTCTCAGATACGTCTCAGATACTAGCTTTTGTCAAAGTCCTGAGACTGTATGATGCCTTATAACTCGATATACCTACTAATACATGCTAATATAATCCGAATAATGATTAATTTTATCGGAAAATCACCATTTATGTGTCTCCTTCATACATGGCCGTATAAGCGACATATTCAAGGTTCTCTATCGGCTATTTTCGTATATGACCTAACCCAATACCAGACTTTTCCCATTATAAGCCTCTATGGAGGTGAAAAGTAAAATTTCCCACTTTTTCCATCGATTAGCTTTGAGTTTTCGTGCCAGATAAGGCTCTGTTCAGCTTCCGGTTTGTGTATTATAAAAGTGAAAATTGCCACGCCGTAGGATGCCAGAATTTCCTTTCAAATATTTGCGTGTCGGCATTTGTAATGGAAATGGGAAAATGGGGTCGATTGTTCGTATAGGAAAAATGCGGTTTTCCCTGGGAGCAGTTGAAAATTGTGCCAGCATTAGCGGTAATTTGAATTTATTACCAGAAAAATTAATAGAGGGATTTTTATAGAACTCGTTTATCAAAAGTTTATTAGGTTCTAAATCAGATTAAGTAAATTTTATTAAAAGAGTGACAAAGTTTATATAAATATAATCAAAAAGCTATTTCTACCGGAGGTGTAACTCCTATACAGGGTGGTCCGTACTGTATTCCGGAAACTTCGGCAGCATATTCTGCAGCTAAAAATAAGTAAAACATTCTTATAAATGTATGTCCCACAATGCTTAGTTTCGGAGATACAGGGTGTAGAAGTTTTATTTTTATTTCGATTTATTTTAGCCTATTAAGATCGGCAAAAAACAGTTTTTTTAATTTCACTCAAAATGAGTTATTTGGGTCATAAATGACCTAAATACAAAATATTTTCATGGTGTCTGTCTGTCTGTCTGTCCGGTTAGGTTGTAACTGCTGTAACACGATAACTCCAAAACCGCTAAACCGATTTTAACCAAATTTGTTGAGAGAGATTTGATGAGTTGTGAGAATCTGGCCATTAGTTCTTGGTGGGGTTGGGGGGTTGATAAGGGGGTAAGGGAGGGGGTTAAAAATTTAAAAAAATCGTAACTCCAAAATTACAGTAGATAGGGAAACGGTGTTCAATTTAAGATTAGGAATAATATTTGCAACAAAATTTGTAATAACATCAAAATCAGTCAAAGTCGCAGTTTTTGAGATAAAAAAAATTGGAAAAATTCCTTTACTTTGAATCTAAAAGAACTGCCTACAAACTTTTTATTAACATATTTTAGTATGGGCGGCTATACGTGCCTCCCGGCGCCAATTTTTTCCATTAACTGGCATATCACAAACAACACTAAAAATAGTTGAAAATAAGAATGAAAGTGGAAATAGCAGTGCATCTTTAATTATCATTGTATTATTTTCGCAAAATGAAATCGCATTTTAGAAATAAAAATCGAAATAACAATTTTTTTTTATCTTTGACGCCAACTTTCTTATTCCATGGTACTTTTAATCAAAATTTTCTATCACAATCAACAAAACAAAGAAAGAAAATTTTTTTTAAAGTTAATTTCTTCGTTTGGCACTAAGAAATGAGCTCTTGCGTGTGTTATACAAAACACAACGAATGCCGTTTTTAATTTTCTCTGGCACATGCCATAAATTTTACTCCAAGGGAGTTTTGTTACACGATGGCCATCTAAAATGGTAATTTCGTTCCAGTTTTAACAATATTTAACCTAATTTGATCCAAAAGGAATAATCGAGTTCTTTGTAACTAATAGTGTATACCGGATGCGTCTTAAAAGTGGTTCACCCCTATAACTTTTTTATTTTTTCAGATAAAAAAATGAGATTTGGTATGTTAGTGTATGACATAAATTAGGATTTATTGACGTATTCAATTGTTTTTGGTCACTTCCTGTTTCACCGGAAATGACTACAACTTTTGATTTTTAAATGGCGCCCTCGGTATATTTCTACTGTATTCGATAGAAAATGACACTTTGAATAGAATGACATATCATATTATGTCAACTTTTGACATTTTCGCATATGGTTTATTTGAACTTGTAACATGCGGTGCAAAACGACAATTTGATTAGAAATACCAAGTGTGTGGTACCAAATTACTCGCAAAAAAATGATTTTTCCAAATATCCAAATGAGCCACCCTTGTTCCATTTGAAAAAATTGAGATATGATTAAAAATACGATTTGTGCATGTTTTAACCGGCCAGAACAAGACACAAAAAACTTTAGACGATCAAAACTATTTTCCAAGGCTCCTTGATTAAAAATTAGTGTTTTTGAACACAATTTTCTCTCAATCTTGATTGAAATTTAAAATACCTACGATTTGTTTTTAAGTGAAAACATCAAAAGTTTATATATTGTCAACCAATCCTATTTTATATCATATATATAGCACATACAACACACCAAATGTTGTTTTTTTATCTGAAAAAATAAGAAAGTTATAGGAGTGAGCCACTTTCGAGACGCACCCGGTATAGTGGTTATGAGAGTTATATGCTTGTTTGAAGATGGAAGAAATAAAGTTTCTGTTGTTGGTGATAGTGATTACTTAAAAAAGCCTGTTGATGAATCAAAGAACATAAATATTCGCAATTATTGCAAATCTATGATTTGGCAGCATTCATGGAGCACAAGCTATAGAGCAGACTTTAGAACGGACAAATTATAATGAAAGAACCCCTACCTCCTAAAGAAAAGATAAAGAGGCCCTTTTTATAACAATAATGACGTACAAAGAGCTTTTCAAACAGTAAAACACATTGTTTCATTCATAAAAAAAATAAATTATATAAAAATTATTGAATATAATTATATTTTTGTCTTACCTGAGCTTTCTTCAATTTCAAACAGAGTACTGGTAGGGTTATCATGGTCTAAAGAATAACGTATTGCTCTAGGTTGGCCTCTATCGCCATCTTCTGCATGGACTCTATATTAAGAGAGAATCTCTTAAGAAAAACTTATTCAATAACTAGGAAAAAAATAACTTGGTTATCCTAGTATATTTAGAAAGTTTCTAACCTCTTTTTTCAAAAATAATTCAAATAGAGTTATATTAACTAAGGAGCTATAGGAAAAACATTAAAAAATTATAAATTATATTTAGTTCACATTTATTTGACTCTAGAATGGTGAAGATAGCCTCAAAACTAGTCTCTAATCTCTCTACACGTTTATTTTCTTACCTTAGAATTATATCTCCAGGTTTTAATGTAGGACTCAGTGTTGTGGTTGGTGGTGCTATAGTAAAAATAGGAGGAGTATCTTGCTCATCAATTACAGCAACCAACAAAGGCCATCCAGCAATATTTCTAGTGTCTTCCTGCATGTTAGTCCAGGGATCCTATGAAGAACGTAAAATAATTCAAAAAAGTCTCTCATTTTTTTAAATATTTGTTTATTACGTTTGCTAGGACTGTCAAATGATGTACTGTCTTTGTTTCGTAATCCAGCGGTGTAAATAGTATTATAGTTCCTTCGGCGTCTTTTTCAGAAATCAGTTTTTGGTGTATTCCAAATTCCAGAGTTCCGTAGAGTTCCAAATAAACGGACTTCATCCTGTTTGGATTTCCTTTGGCTATGATGGAACCTGGAGGAGATTTTTAGTGAGGAAGGATTCAGTAATACACTCTAAGATAATCGGGATTGTTGCAAAGGCAAGTCAAAAAATGTTTCACTCTGTAACTTAGTTCTGTCAATTCTGATTGCTGTAATATATCAAGAAGCATTAACTATGCTTCTTAATACCTTATTTTGAAATGTCTGTTTAATACTGAGATGAAAGAAATCAAGAAATCACAACAAAAATAGATTTCTTAAAATACCAAATACTCTATTCTGGAAATATGATTGAAATAGACCATTAACACAGTGCACGGAAGTCTTTCAATCCTTCAGTCGGCAAAACTACGGTTCATAATTGATCGGAAAACTTTGAACTCCTTTTATTGCTCACCGCAAATCAATAATTCAATCGTTCAACGTTATGAACCTGTCTAACAACCCTTAACCCTTCATATTTCTAATAATTATGTCTGTTTGCTCTTGAAAGGGTCAATTTTTAATTATAAAATGGATGTGTCTATTAATAAGTACGCAAAAAAAAATTATTTTTATTATTGAAGCACATTTTAAAAATATTTTTTGTGCTTTTTAGCCACTGACTTACCCAGTTCTGTGTTCCTTCTGGCATTTTCGGATATGGTAAGCAATGAAGGGGCACCTGGAAAGATTTTTTCTATGGGTGTTGTGGCATTTGTGGCGAAAAACGAACAATTCATGGTGGCACTTTGGCCTCTTTGGTTCCTGATTTCCACTTTGAAGTCGTAGAATCTTCCAGCTTCGAGTTTTTTCCTCAAAATTACATTTGCTTGGCACACCTGATAGAGATTTTTATATGTAATATGGAAACCCCAATATGAAAAAATTGCATAAAATATCCCATCAAAATAATCAAAAATACAAAATGCCCAGTCTCGCATAAATGCACATTGAAAAAAAAACGACGTCAAGTTAGCTTTTAAAATATCAGCGATCTTCATTTCTAAGGTAATTTGACGTCGTTTTTTTTTTGGATCATATGATATAGATGTGAGAAATATTGAATTTAAGACTTACTGAATTGAATCTGGTACAATTTAAAGCTTCAACAGCCACTGTTGTGGTTTCTTTCAGATCGAAAATCAACGGGTAGTCGAAAGCTGTATCCGAAACTCTTAGTCTGTAGATTACAGACCCTACAGCCGCATCAGCCGGTATCAAAATTTCGTTTAGCAGGGCTGTAGAGTCGAACACTAACACTGCTGACACTGAAAAAAAAAACAGAAAAATATTTTTTTTATAATTAATTTGTTTTACACAGTAAAACTGGAGTTAGGTATGGAATACGAGGAAACAGCCTTAGTATTTTAAAAAATTACCTTAAGAACAGATCACAATATGTTAATTTGGGAGTTATTAATAGCAAGCCAGGAAGGATTGAGCATGGTGTACCACAAGGCACTGTGTTGGGTCCGTTATTGTTTGTTATTTATATTAATGATCTACTTACAATTAACACAAAAGCAGAAATTTTTAGCTACGCAGATGATACAGCGATATTTTATAAATCTAACTCTTGGTCGAATTTGAAAAGATTAGCAGAGGAAGACTTTCAGACAATTAATACCTGGTTTGTCAAAAACAAATTCACATTAAACTATGACAAAGCCAAATGTATATCCTTCTCTATTTATAAAAATAATGAACCAGTTTGGGACAGATTACAAATAACCAATAATAATGTAATACCGGAATGTGATTTTATAAATTATTTAGGGGTTACAATCGACAAACATCTTAAATGGAATATTCATATTAATAATGTAACTAAAAAATTGCGAGGATTGTTGCCGAAATTTAATTATTTGAAAAGTTTTTTGGACGTCAAACAGCTTAAAATCCTGTACTCATCCCTTGTACAATCTCATTTGACATATGGAATTCTAGGGTGGGGTGGTGCGGCTGAATGTCATTTAAAGGGCTTGTATTCTGTTCAAAAATGGTTCATAACAATTATTTACAATAAAAAGAAAACTTTCTCTGCAAACGTTCTCTTTAAGCAGGCGCATCTACTGGATATACGTCAGCTATACTGCCGAGATGTTTTAAAATTCATTTATCAAGGGAATATATCTATTGAACATGTTGACCATGAATATGAAACTAGATATAAGGCGTTTTATTCTAGTTTATGCTCTAAAACTTTGGACAAAGATCTTCAAAGTTTTTTGCACCTCGATTATATAACATCTTACCAACCTTCCTAATGGAAGTTAAAAGTTACTCTGGGTTTAAAAAAGGGGTATGCAAATGGATGGTTGATCAAGGTAGAGATCTATTTAATGACCTAGTTAACTTAAAATATACAAAATAAATTTTCATAAGTGCCAGTGAACATTATATATTGTCATAATTAAATTGTATTCGTTTCCACATACTTGTGGCAATTCTTTTAACATTTATTTCGATTCTTAAAATTTAAATTTAGTTTTAGTTAAATTGTACTTAGATAATGTGTATTAGATATATTAGCATATTATGTTGTATTGTACTGTACTATTTTTGTATCTGTTTTAATTTCTAGAGAAAATGTTTAATAAACATTATTATTATTATTATTATTATTAGTTTTTTTTAAATGCTGTTAGAGATTTTTTAACTCAGTACATTTGTTATAAAATTTCTATTTTATAATATTTTATATAGATATCGAGTAGAGAAGTATAATCGATACCAATTAAATTTTTAGTTAAGTAATCGAGGGCGTGATTTTTAAATTCATTTTTGCCAGCCATGGATATATTCGGCGCCGGGCTAACTAACTGGAATTTAAAAAATCAGGTCCGTATTTAAAAAAATTAAGTTGATGATGGTCGCTGGAAGCACCGGGAAAGGTCAGAGTCAATATTTAATCACACAGAGTTATAGAGCAGAAATAGTGGACATGAAAATGTGTTTTTCACTTTAAGTTATCTTAACATATAAAGCCAGGAAACAATAGAAAACAAAATTGAAAATTCCGGTTTTTTTTGTCGAATATATTCGGAAGTAATCGGAATTTTTCAAAACGCAATACGGCATTTTATTGAGCATCAAACTGCGCAACTTTGCCTCCGTTTAACCGATCCTGTATTTCTTACGGTTTCCGAAATCCCAATGATGAGCGTCGAATTCGAGCTACCCTGTACAGGGTGGGTCAAATTCGACGCTTTTAAATGGAAACACCCTTTTTTATAGGAGACAAAAACTAATATCGGTGTCTGGAGTTCAATTTTTGTCAAAAACATGATGGTGATAACCGCACAACGATATCTGTTACCGTTTTGGAGTTACGGGGTGTTAATATTCATTTTTAACAAATCGCTGTAACTTTTTTGCTATGGAAAATTTTGTATTTTTATGAAAACATTTCTAAAGCACTTTTTCACGTAGAATTTAATGGTTTAAGTATAATTTTTTTAAAATTAATAATTTAAGAATTATCAACAGAAAATTTGATTTTTTATATGAGACACCCTGTATATTTTTAATTAACTGAAAAGAATTTAAAATTACCTTTCCAAAAATATAGCACACTTGATATTTTGTTATAATCCCCTCCGAAATACAGAATTTTTAAAAGTTCACCACTTTTAACTAGTAGGCTTTGGACCCCTCATTGATGATATGCCCTTAATGGAACTCGAAAACCTATTTTTCCAGCAAGACGACGCACCGCTTCTGAACGCTGAAGTTATCGGCAAATTTCTGCAGCCAATTTCAAGAATAATTGAATAGCTGACCAAGCACCCAGCCGTTGGCCGTCGAGGCCGCCTGACTTAGTGCCCATGGATCTAATCCTATGGATATATTTGCGGAAGAATAAAGGTTATTATTCTTCTGTATAATCTAGACAAGAATTAGAAATACTTAGCAGTTATGAGAGGGTATCTTTCACCCCTACTGAGTTAATGAATTCCGCGAGAAATGTTCAAAACTGCCCTGTCTGTCCATAACAGAAGACGGTCGATATGTCGAACACCTGTAGCAAAATCTTATGTCCTGGTTTGCTATTTATTTTTATTGTTATTAGATATAGTTTAAATGTGTTGATGTTGGTTAAATATATTTTAAATTGTTATAAAATTCTGCATCTCTCATAGCAAATATTATTTTCGTTTTAACTGATGCTCACAGCTAGATTTTTTTTACATTACAGCCGGTGCCGTTCAAAGCCTACTTATTTAAAGCGGGCGAATTTTTATATATTCTATATCTCGAAGAGGGATCGAGCAAAATATCAAGTGTGTTATATTTTTGGAAAGGTAATTTTAAATTCTTTTCAATAAATTAAAAATATACAGTGTGTCCCATATAAAAAATCAATTTTTCTGTTAATAACTCTTAAATTATTAATTTAAAAAAAATTATACTAAAACAATTAAATTCTACGTAAAAAGGTGCTTTGGAAATGTTTTCATAGAAATACAAAATTTTCCATAGCAAAAAAGTTACAGCGATTTGTTAAAAATGCACATTTTTGAAAAACACCCCGTAACTCCGAAACGGTAACAGATATTGATGTGCGGTTTTCACCATCATGTTTTTGATGAAAATTGAGCTCCAGACACCGATATTAGTTTTCGTCTATCTCCCACAGAAAAGGGTGTTTCCATTTAAAAGCGTCGAATTTGACCCACCCTGTACAAGTATTTTATTATTTATCTTTTTTGAGTAACAAAACCTCTTTAAATAATGCCCTGGTTAATTTTACCTAATTTTTAAAAAAATAACTGTTCCAAAATCAACGAAAAAACGCATTTAAAATTAAAAAAAAAATAATTCAAAAATTAAACGTACCTGTAAAGGAGCCGCAGTAGTAACACCACACGAAAACCAATAGCCTCATCGCCAACTGGCATGATGTTTTCCCGGTGCTTTTCCCGCTGTTTTTCCCTCTTGATTTCCCTTTCTTCTTACAGCGTAGCTCGCCTGCGAATTCCACACCAGTTTTAAGCAAAGTTTTGGCTAAAAGTTTTAAGTGCCAAAGTCGAAATAATTTTAAGACGCCTATAAAAAGTGATGTCGTGTTAGTCAACCCTTTCCAAAATACTTAGAGGGTTTGTTTTTAGGATTAATGATAGTCTATCATGCGATGGGTTTAGTGGGAATTAGGTTTAAACGTTTGCTATATGTTTTATTATTTATTTCCTAGTGTGTTAAGAAAGACTAAAAAATCTCTACTGATATATAAAATCCTTAAGTGACTGACATACTGATTAATCACGATCCTGCCCAAACCACTCAACGTAAGAAGCTCAATTTTGGCATACAGGTTGATTCTAGGGTGTAGAGGTTCGATAAGAAGGGATTTTTCAAAATTCCAGTTCCAAGAGGGTGAAACCACCTCTCAAATATTACAGTATTTTTTATTTAAAAAACGGTCAAGTTGGTCATGGTTGAATGAGCTTGAAATGATGATGATGATGATGATATTGCAAGAAGACAATACAATTCACAGTACCAAATATAGTAGACTAAAAGCTATAGTTATTTCTCCTATTTGTGTCTTCTTACACCTATTAATAACACTCTGTATTACATTTTCTAATAACAAACTACGGCCAGGAGATACCTTATGGTATAAAGGAGATATCTACTCAAAAAAATTACACTAAATCATTCATGATTTAATTAAGTCCAATAGCATAACCGATTTCGAGAAAGTTCAACACTCTCCTTAGCCTCAATAAATAAACCCTAACACGAAAGGGAAATAATACTTTTTCCACCCTACTTTTTCACTCTCCTTTTTTTATAGCATTAAATTATATATAATTTTACTGTATATTTAATAGGTTGTTATTCTTTCTAATAAAAATTGTTTCTTTAACAAAAAAAAACTTAATAAGTTAAGTAGCTCTGTTTTCTGAGAAACAAGTATTGTTTAATATTATGTATTTGTTTCCGAAATTTTAAAAATATCAAAAGGTATTGCATGTACCACAGTGTCTATCAATATCGCAGGTTTTTTTCTATTAATTCTATACCCTGTGGTGCATCGAAAAACGGGACATAGGCAAACCCATGTAAATTTTGAAAAAGGCCAAATATTATCTCACCAGACGGGTTTATGCAAAAGTTGTATTAGACTTTTTTGATGAAGCGTTAAAGTTGTAATGTCCCTTAGAATTTGGTTTTATTCGGAATCGGCATTAACATGTTATTTGCAAAAATCTATCTTTAAATTAGCAAAATTTATAATACGGTCCAGAAAGGCTACAATTATTGAAATACCAGCAAAAATATGAATTTGTCATTGTCAAATTCGATGTCACATTCAGTAATGAATAGCAAACAAATCATATACCGTGAATACTACTCTCAACTCAACTAATTCCTTTGTAGAGCAATCATACAATTCCAATTTAGAAGCAAAAAATAACCAGATAAAAGATAAAAAAAGATATTTGTTGATGGGAGCTCAAAGACTGAGAACTGAGAACTTCTTGTAGACCAAAATAACTTTTTTTTTATTTTCTTGGATATATCGGATGCGTCTCAAAAGTGGCTCACCCCTATAACTTTTTTATTTTTTTCAGTTGAAAAAACGAGATTTGATATGTTAGTATATGACATAAATTAGGATTGATTGACGCATTCAATTGTTTTCGGTCACTTCCGGTTTCACCGGAAATGACTACAACTTTTGATTTTTAAATGCCACTCCCTGTATTTTTTTACTTTATTCGATAGAAAATGACACTTTGAATAGAATGACATATCATATGTCAACTTTTAACATTTTCGCATATGGTTTTAACGAAAATTTAACTCGAAATACCAAGTGTGTGGTATCAAATTATTCGTAAAAAAATGCTTTTTCCAAATATGCTAATGAGCCACCCTCGTTCCATTTGAAAAGATTGAGATATGATTAAAAATACGATTTGAGCATTTTCTAACTCGCCAGGACAAGACACTAAAAACATTAGACGATCAAATATATTTTTCCAAGGCTCCTTGATGAAGAATTAGTGTTTTTACCATAGCCATGGCACTCTAGATTGAATTTTAAAATACAATTTTTCATTAAGCGAGAATGTCAAAATTTGACATATATGTCATTCTGTTCAGAATGTCATTTTCTATAGAATAAAGGAAAAAAATACCGAGGGTGATGCCATTTAAAAATCAAAAGTTTTAATCATTTCCGGTGAAATAGGAAGTGACCAAAAACAATTGAATACGCCAATCAATCCTAATTTATGTCATATACTAACATACCAAATCTCGTTTTTTTATCTAAAAAAATAAAAAAGTTATAGGGGTGAGCCACTTTTGAGACGCACCCGGTATAATCTTAAGATACTTAGAACACTTAAAAAGCATCCAAAAATATCAAAATCTCTCTATTTTTCCAGAAAACGACTCACCTTTATCCTTTTTTCTATATTCCATTTTTTTCGTTGACTTGAAAAGTATCACAAACTAGTTACAATCAGACTACATCTTCACTGTACCCCATTTTTCAAGCATTATTAGCTTTAAACAAATCTTAATCCTCCACATCATCTCATACAGAAGCATCATTAATTCTTACACACGAAAAAAAAACGATGATAATCACTAAACTCATCAGAAATCTCGGTAAACGAACTCAAAACGCATACATGCGAAATATACTCGTATATTCTCCAGAGGAAAACCTGGATTTTCCTTTCAAATATAAGGGAAAATATCGCGTGTCCACTAGCGACTACCCTTATGGTAATGCACGTCGAGTAGTCCGATGGGAGAATATCACCCCCTCTCACCCCTTATTCATGGTTGGTCAGCTATGGTCAAGCGAGGCTGGTCGCTAAGGAACGGCTGGTCAGTCTCCAATTTATACACTGGAGGGAACAACGGGGGGTCTAGATATCGATGTGGTCTAGTTTCGTAGTTTTTATAGGGGGTAGGATTGGTATGGATGTCCAGGAAATGATTTGGATGATTCTAGGAAGAGGATATAGTGAATCAAGAAATTGAAAACAAACGATTATTGTTTCGAACAATGTTTATTTTGTATAATTTATTTAGTTGAGAATAAGGCTGGTCACACAATGGAAGTGTGAACATGCGAATTGTTAAACACGTGTCTTTTGAGCGCGACCACTTATTTTTAATAAGGTTTAGTTATTGAAGAATTAGTATAGTCAAATTTTATTTCTTTGAGTTAAAATTTTGGGCACTTCTGATTTATTTTGTTTGTTTATTTCTGATTCCTCACGTAAAAATAAGATTTATTTTTCATAATATTAACATAGGTCCAATTCTGCTTTGTTTCGTAGCTACAGTGTGTTAACATCTTAATATTTTTTCGATTTATTATAATTTTCTTCCACGTACTTTTAGTGATTTGAATGAAATTTTGAGGGTAAAAGTTACTATAAGTGCTACATATTTTATTGCTAAAATAGTATCGATTAATTCACCAGGGACGTGCATATGGGGTATCACTGGAATATTTTTCAAAAAAAAAACATGTGCGCTACTGACTTTTTTCTTTTGATATCAAAATTGTGTAGTCCCTTTAATGCCAATTAAATGTCATCTCTTGATATTTTGTCGAATTTGGCCTCCTTGATGAGATAAACGCAATTTTATTAATCGTGTTTAAGAGTTTTTCGGAAAACCTCTTAAACACGTATATTTTATTTTGTTGTTTTACATATTTTAAGATTTTTTTAAAAATTATACAGGGTGTTTCATAAAATATCCCAATTGAGTAATCACGATTCTGCTTAAACTGTTTGACGTTTAAAGCTGATTTTTGGCAAACGGATTGACTGGGGGGTGTAGAGGTTCGATAATGAGGGGTTTCCCGAATCTGAAATTCCAAGAGGGCGAAAACGCCCCTCAAATATTACAATATTTGTTATTTAAAAAACGGTTAGTCTTTCGGGAAAACGCTTGGACAAGCATAATTTATTTTGTTTTTTTACATATATATTTTGAATTTTTTTAAAAAATCATACAGGGTGTTCCAAAAAGTTGGGTAATTGATTAACCATGATTCTGCTTAAACTGCTTGACGTAAAAAGCTTATTTTTGGCAAACGGATTTTTGGAAAGTCAATATCGCCATATTGTTTTTTCTCATGCTGACATAAATGTGAGAAAATTTTATCCAGTTTGTATGTTAATGGAAATTCTTGCTTTGCTTTATCATCACCATTACAATAATTCGACGCGAACGAAGTCGCGGGTACACGCTAGTGAAATTATGGTGAAATTATAAAAAAGTAATATGTATTTACTGTCCCATTTTTCTGTTCTGTCATTTTATTTATTTTTTTTGTCAGAATAATAGGTAAATAATTAGATGAATAAAATTAAATAGAATAAATATACCTATATTATAGATAAGTTAGTGATTTTATAGATTTATTTTATCTTAAAAATCATTCAACTTACAGTAAAATATTCATAACAACTTCATTCCAGTAGATATTTAGTATTCCTTGACATATAATTTATTAATAACACAAAAAGTATTGATTTTGTTCAGTTCTCTAATTATTCATAGAAAGTAACATGAAATATTGAAACCATCTCAACATTTATCCTATTTTTTAATTAATAAAACTCCATGTATCTTCATAATTAACTATATTTACAGAATAATAATTTACAATTTCAACAATTCCAATAAATAAACAACAGTATATGCTATTTCAGTTTTTCTCCTGGAACCCTTTCATATTCAGGCCTATGTGGAAAGCTTTCCATACCCTTTTCCACAGGTGATGGTAGATTTCCCTTAGCATCGATCTCCAGAGCCTTCTTTTTCTTTGACTGCATTAAAGCTAAATTTTTAGCTAACTCCTCTTCAGTTGGAGGTACTTTCCTTCTACCTAAAGTACCAACAGTTAATACATAATTACATCATTAAATAAAAGCTTCGTTTACCTCTTAACCAGGCTTCCCATTCGGCAGGCATTTCTTGTTGGAAATTTTCTTTTTCCGGTGGTTCAAACCATCTGCTAGGTCTCGTTCTAGCGCTGACTGAGTTAACAGGGATTTCAAAGTATTTATTACCAAAATAATCCGTTCCCATATAATTGCCTCGCCACTGTCTTGGTTTGAACGAATTTATAAAATTCGTGAAGATCATCTTCAAAATGCTACGCGACGGTGGTTGGGCCATGATTGATGTTATATTAGGTATTAAATTAGCACTGTTTTACCTTTATATACGCTATTTTCTGGGTTTTATTCGCAAAAATAATGAAAGACTTCAGTTTGTTTATAAAATCTGATTCACAGAATAACTACAGAACGATCAGTCAATGTAATAAAAAAGCGAACAAAATTTTTGCTGCCATCTATAGCGGGCCGAGTGCGGCTCAGGGCTTCAAGGTCAAAATAATTATTTATTAAATAAAAAAGTCGTGTCGACGGCACGACTCGAACCGGCTACCTTCGTGTTGCTAGACGAGAGCCTTATCCCCTACACCACCAGATATCTTGACGAGAATTATATCTTTGTGGTAATAAATTATGAATTCAGCCTGCTACAACGGATATGTAAAATTTATCCTAGAGGCTGCTTATACTTTGAAAATTCATCTCGTTGCAGTTCATCACAGTTGTATAATTCAAGAAGCACTAAGAAATATGGCTACCTTTGAATAATATGATATGAAAAAGTTGGAGTCGGAATACAATAAAAAGCACGAGAAATACATTTTGTATTAAAAACAAAATAAAGGCAGCTTAAATATAGTTTGAAGCATAAGTAAAGGAGTATTTGAAGTACTGTGTGGACGGAAGAGGAAATCAATCGCAAAATTCATAAAATGAATTTAAAGACCGAGCCAATCGTAACGTTTGAAGCAACCATACATACACGAAGAACTGTTCTGCAACCATATATACACGACGTAAATTAGCACCATCTATAGTGGGCCGAATCGTCAATTTGTAATTTAATGCTCCATAAGAGTGACTGGGCCCTGATCTGATTTAACCTCACTTATTATTCTTCTTTTTAGAAAGTTCGGCAATGTGCTTATGGTTTGAAATTTTAGTATTTCGATTCAGTTAAAAGCATTTTAAATGTCACTTGACTTTACGTCAGTTTGATGGAAGGCGTGGTATCAAATGTGTTTACGGGGTGAGGAAATGGTAAAAATTGGCATGGCCGCTGGTGTCTGTCGATTAAAAATATACAAAAAGTCCGATAAATATACGTTGAAGCGTAGGAGTGCGTAAGGTTCCGGGAAAATTTGGCAGGCGTTTTCCGAACGGCGTTGAAACAGTAAGTGACGGAAAAAACGGGTTTTCGTTCGAGGAGCAGGTTGTTGGCCATAAACTTGTAGCTCTCTGACATTTCCTTTCACTGTGTTTTAACAGTCATGCGACAACTGTTTGTTTAGCTAAAAATATGGTTTTTCAATTTAGATGCGCCACTTAACGAGTAGTTTTTATGTTAAATAATGGGCCTGAGTCGAGGAGGTCTAGGAACCTTTGGAGCATCTGATTAGTACCATGAATTGGAATACCTACTTATGTTTCTTATGGCGCCTAATTTTAATTGATCCCAATTTTATCTGTATCCTTAATCCTATTTAAAAACCCTCCTTAGACAGCTTTAGCACTTAGATCAATTATAATAAGTATTGATGTTTATTTGGAACTTATATTTTTGTATTTTATAGATACAGTGCAACAAGACAACATAATACTGAAAAAAATGAGAAAACGACACAGAAAATTTGGATAATACCTAGTGAAGTGCTGGGATGTGGTAGTGTAGTGTTTTTATAGTTTATAAGAGATCAAACTTCTAAGAATAATAGTGACTAACAAGTGTCATCATGTCTTTTTTTAACAATATCAAAAAAGTGTTACATTTCGGAGGCAATGACGCGAAAAAGAAGAAAGTGTACAACAATGTGCGTATGGAGACTGATCCGGAGGAGTACTGGGACATGATAGGGGAGCTAGGTGATGGAGCTTATGGCAAAGTTTATAAGGTATGTTTGAAAATCGCTGTATTTATGAATTTAAAATGAAAAATATGGACATTTCAGGCCCAAAACAAGCATACCGGCCAGTTAGCCGCTGCCAAAATGTGCCGGTTAGATGGTGAAGACGACCTGTCTGATTTTATGGTTGAAATTGACATTTTAACGGAGATTAAACACACTAACATAGTTGAATTATTGGAAGCTTTTCAGAAGGACCAACAGGTTTGTTTTTGGTGCATTTATCTAGGTTAAAACATGACTATATCTGCTGTTTTTTTTAGTTGTGGTTGTTGATAGAGTATTGTGATGGAGGTGCCTTAGACAGTATAATGGCCGAACTTGAGAAACCCTTGACTGAACCCCAAATTGCTTACGTGTGCCAGAATATGAGCAAAGGACTGCATTTCCTGCATAAAAGTCATGTGATACATCGAGATTTGAAGGCTGGGAATGTCTTGTTGACTATGGCTGGAGGTGTGAAGCTTGGTAAGTACTAAAATTTTATAGTTCCTCTTTAAAAGGTTTAAAAACTTATGTAATTTGTACATAATATTGATTTTGAAGTGATCATCTAAATCGGTGAATGAATAAATTAGAAAATATCTTAATTAATTTAAATGTTATGTCAGGAATTTATGAATTATTAATTAACTTTTCTCTGGTGTGTTTGTCTGCTATGTTATTACCTAATTTTATGTGTATTGAGATAAATGTGTGAAATAGTAGCTACAGGGTGTTTTAGATTTATATAAAATGACATTTATCACATAATTTAGGCACATAATTTTCTTGTGGATCAAGGATCATATTTTTAAGCCCCGTTCTCAGAACTGCGTCGTGTCGACAGCGACACTAATTGACACTTCAAATGACCAATGGGAGCTGTACTAAATTTAAAATTGACAGCTGTTTAAATTTTGTAGAAAGCTGATTGGTTCTTTTGTCGTGTCGCTGGCGACAGTCGCAGTTCTGAGAACGGGGCTTTAGGCTATAATTTTAGTAATGCTGGTTGTTAAAATTTTGATTAGTTCAGGGTGAACATGTGAAGAGGTTTGATGTAAAGAACTAGTTTTTTACATGTAAAAACATTTTATGAGAAGCAAAAAACTGCTTTTTCCCATTATTAAAGCTCCTTCAAAAGCCCTGTTTTATTTGAATGATTATTCTTAAATGTTTTATATATTTATTTTCTTATATTTGGTCTTTTTATTGATTTATTCTTTTTTATTTTGTGTAGAAATTAAAATTTGTGTCAAAATAACTGAATGTAAAGGTTGGGAAGGGACAGAAATGTCAATACTTCCTCTTTATTTATTTTTTTAATATTTTACCTGTATTTTACATCACAATATAAAAATAAACGTAAAAAAAGGATAGCCGCGTACGTATCCATCCTTGATTAATATTTCCCCTTTTATCTATTGTAATTATATTTATGATTTTAGTTTAAAATGAATTTTTTTAATTTATATTTATTAAATTTACTTAGTTAAAAATAAAAAGTTCCCAAATTTATTAATTCAGTCAAATATCTATATAAGTAGTCAACATGTTTATTTTTTGTCAATGATGACATATATTGATAATATATATTTCAAATATCTTGAGAACGGTTGCTCGTAGTGATTTTTACCAAAACACCTTTTTTTAAGTAAAAAACGACAGAAATGTATATTTTTTCACTCAAAACTTTAATACAGGTATGGACGGAAAGTTATTACTTGTTAAAACAGTTAAAAACCTTGTAGGTGGCGCTCCCGACAAATAGGAGTCATATTGACATCGAAATCCCCAAATTTCTCATGTCAAAACTTACCCAGACACCAATTTTCATCCAAATATCTGCGTTAGTTCAGAAATTATTTGGAAAATTCGAAATAAAAATTAAACTTCTACACCCTGTATCTCCGAATTGAAGCATTTTAGGACATAAATTTATAAGAACCTTTTTACTTATTTTTATCTGCAGAATATGCTGTCAAAGTTTCTCGAATATAATTCGGACCACCCTGTATAGATTTTTTTTTCTTATTGTATTTAAAAAATGTCAATCTGTAAAATTCTTCAAGGTCAACTAATTTAGGGCTACTTATATCCGATGTTATAGAGCTTGTTTCTCTCTACAATTTCCTGTCTCACAATGTACCGGTTGTGTCCGGGAAGGGATCATAGTTTCATAGTTGTCGATTTTCGAAAGAAATCAGTACATGTATATTATTATTTTGTATATTTTTCATTTTATTGATTTTATGGAAAGCACTGTTCATTAAAATGTTGTATCCTATGTTATGGGGCTTGTTTCTCTCCACAATTTCCTGTCTCATAATGTACCGTTTATGTCCGGGAAGGAATCATAGTTTCATAGTTGTCGATTTTCGAAAGAAATCAGTACATGTATATTATTATTTCGTATATTTTTCATTTTATTGATTTTATGGAAAGCACTGTTCATTAAAATGTTGTATCCTATGTTATGGGGCTTGTTTCTCTCTACAATTTCCTGTCTCACAATGTACCGTTTATGTCCGGGAAGGGACCATAGTTTCATAGTTGTCGATTTTCTAAAGAAATCAGTACATGTATATTATTTCGTATATTTTTCATTTTATTGATTTTATGGAAAGCACTGTTCATTAAAATGTTGTATACTATGTTATGGGGCTTGTTTCTCTCCACAATTTCCTGTCTCACAATGTACCGTTTATGTCCGGGAAGGGATCATAGTTTCATAGTTGTCGATTTTCGAAAGAAATCAGTACATGTATATTATTTCGTATATTTTTCATTTTATTGATTTTATGGAAAGCACTGTTCATTAAAATGTTGTGTCCTATGTTATGGGGCTTGTTTCTCTCTACAATTTCCTGTCTCATAATGTACCGTTTATGTCCGGGAAGGGATCATAGTTTCATAGTTGTCGATTTTCGAAAGAAATCAGTACATGTATATTATTTCGTATATTTTTCATTTTATTGATTTTATGGAAAGCACTGTTCATTAAAATGTTGTATCCTATGTTATGGGGCTTGTTTCTCTCCACAATTTCCTGTCTCACAATGTACCGTTTATGTCCGGGAAGGGATCATAGTTTCATAGTTGTCGATTTTCGAAAGAAATCAGTACATGTATATTAATTCGTATATTTTTCATTTTATTGATTTTATGGAAAGCACTGTTCATTACATACTTTAAAGAAGCTGTCCCTTAACTCTGGCTTCTATATAGCTTAAAAGTATATATTCTTTGCTGAAACATTACAAGCTTTTTTATATTTCTTCTTAAGTAAGATATAAGTGTTTGTTTGAACAACACTCTGGGGGTATATGCATGACTTTCTCAGGTAGATTTGTCACAAAATTAACATTTCTAAGACGCAGTGATTCATTGAAAGTAATCAGCCTAAAAATAGTCGTTGCATAATAATTTTAAATGCTGTTGTAAAACACACTGCTGGAGGATGCTTGGCATTTCCTTATCAGCATTCAATAGGTGTTATTAGGTAACTTTCGATTTGCACCATTGAAGGTGTCAAAGAACCAAAAAAAAAGTTCGTATTAATATATGTCTTAAAATGCTTTGTTTCGGAGATACAGGGTGTAAAAGTTTCATTTTTATATTGATCTTTTCCAATTAATTTCTGAAGTAACGTCAATATTTGGATGAAAATTGGTATCTGAGAGTTTTTTGACATGAGAAATTTGATTTTGATGTCAATATGACTCCTACTCTTTGAATAAGAAGACTAAGGAAGGAGCATATCAAAAATCTTAGGTACACCGCGATGGGCCTCAAATATGGCCGACTTAAATTCCGGTTTATCAGTGTCGTTCTAATTTTATTTAAAAAATATAAAACTATGATGTAGGGAGACGTGGGATAGACTCAATAATTTTTTGTTTTATTTTACGTTGTGAATAAATGTTGGTAGTTATTAAAATTGTTATAAAAATATATAATTCTAATAAAAATAGATATAAGTATTTATTATAATAAGTATTTATTAACACAAACATCCGATACGCTACTGAAGCAGGTAAGTCAAATTAACGTATCTAAATTGTTTGACATCTAATCTTTGACAAGTAATAAATAAAAGCTAAAATGCAAGAAAAATATATAATTTAGTTAATTTAAGTGAATTTCAAAAATGATCGGTTTACTACACGTATGTATATTATATTATAGTCACTTACTAGCGAAAAGTTGTTCCATTATTTCACTCAATTTTTGCCGAGATCTACCGCACGCTACACAACCAACTATTTTAGAGTCTTTTTCGATAAATCGCGATAGTGTCACTGTTAATTTAAGTTCTGCCACAATTTCCATCTAGATTTACTACCTTTATACAACTATCAGTAGTAGAATAAATAATAAATAACATAAAATAAGCTCCGTAAAGACTGACAAATCCATAAAATTTCAAATCAAATTCAAATGTGTCAAATGAATCGTCAAACTAACACAACTCCGGAACTAAGCATTTTAGAACATACATTTATAAGAACTATTTTACTTATTTTTATCTGCATAATACGATGCCGAAGTTTCCAGAATACAGTTCGGACCACCCTGTATATTGGGGCTTTATACCTACAAACAAATGCAAGTAGTAATTAATATTATTTATACACAAAACAATACCATATATACTTTATTTTTGGTTCTCTTTGTCTTAAAGAAAATTCGATTTTTTTTCTGCCGAAATAATCGATTGAAACTAATTTGATTGATGTTTCAATGGCGCATGAAAGCATATAGATATTTCCGTTTTTTTATTAACAGATTGTCGAAAGAAACACTATCGGAAATAGTTGTTTAATCGAGACGAGGAGGTCTTAAAACAGGTCACGTGGGAAAAAAACGCATAATTTTTGATTTATGTTGTGGATTTATGTAATTCGCTAAAACTTGGCACGATTTTTGTGCTCGTTTTGTATACAGTCCTGGCCAAAATGCTTGTCACTATTTAGTATGAATGAACGATTTATTACACACATATCAGGTGTGTGATGGCTATTTTGAGAATGCCCGTGACCTTGCCTGTATATTATAATATAATCGATACAGTTTATGAATAAAATCAATTTTCGTACAAAAATATTACAAAAGAATGAATAATTTGCTTTAGTAAATTTCGGGAGACGATAATGCAATTTTATCGTCCTATATAAAACAATATTTTTTTCCATAGCGAGTTAACGTTTTAAAAAATATTCAGAAATTATTATTTCAAGGAAAAAAAATAGTGCTGTGTTGGCGTTGGTTTCTATGTAATTTGACAAATAAATAAAGCTGTCTCCAGAGAGAACACTAATAACTAAAGTGAGAGAGACCCATAGAATAACTAACTGAAAGAAATGAAAACTCCTATGTTAAAGCCTGGAAACACGCGCTCGACGCGATCCAAGCGGGCTACTGGCAGAACTAAAAGTTGGCGCCATATTTTTAAATGGACCTTTACTGCCAGTTCATAAGTTTTTTAC